AGTACTACAAACAAAAATCTAACCCTGTGATTAGAAACCTGATCTACCTTAAAAAAGAGAGTCCATCATATCACCCAACCGCCCGAACCTTACCGAATGTGCTTCTCGTAAATGCGAGATCAATTATGGGGAAAATTGATGAATTAAAATATTATTCAAACGAGCATAAAGCTGAAATCATCATTGTCACGGAGACATGGCTAGCGGACAATATACCCAGTGAAGTTGTTAACATCCCACAATTTACTTTGATACGTAAGGATAGGAAAATCGGTTCTGGAGGGGGCTGTGGAATCTATGTCCGTAAAGAGTTTTCAATAAGAACTCGTGATGATCTCTCTGACTCGAGCTTTGAATGTCAGTGGCTAATTCTGCGTCCAAAGTGGCTTCCACGAACAATTTCGAGAATTGCTGTTGCTTGTGTATACCTTCCTCCCTCAATCGATCGAGTAAACTTAGAAAAGTTTTATGACTATTTTTATTCGTGTTATGACAAAGTATCATCTGAAAGTCCAGAAACAGGTTTTATTGTGGCTGGAGATTTTAATCCCTGCAGCAACGGTTTTGATATGAAGTGTCTTTCTGACTATTGTGATTTTAATTTAAAGCAAGTGGTTAAGGATCCGACACGAAACTCCAATATCCTAGATCTTATTTTTGCTAACATGAGCTCACATTATAACCCCCCTGAAGTAATTGCACCACTGTCTACCTCCGACCATAATATGGTTATTTGGATGGCGAAATCACAGCAGCGCTCGGTAAACATTGTGAAGAAAATTAAATTTCGTCCACCGCCAAGATATAACCTGCAACAATTTGGTTCCTGTCTTGCCCAATATGATTGGTCAACCGTACTAAACCTTGAGAACGTAGATGAAAAGGTTGAGGATTTCACCAGAGCTACTAACGACATGATTAATTACTATTTCCCGGAGAGAACAGTTCGAATGCACTCCGATGATAAATTTTTTATAACAACAAAAATAAAAAAGTTACTAAGGAAGCGAGATAACGCATACAAACAAGGAAGAATGCAGACGTTTAGGAAACTTCGTAATAGAGTAGCATCGGAAATTACAAAGGCAAAGAGGCACTATTATGTAATGAACATTGGATCAGGCTGAATACCAACGGGGATGCCCGAATGTGGTGGAAGAAGGTCTGGAAACTGACTGGAAAGAAGAAACCCTCTATCAATCTCAGTGAGCAGGGATCAGACTCCAAACTCGAAGATAGTGATGCTCCAAATATGATTAATACGTTTTTTGCAGATCTAACAAATGATTTCCCAGAAATTCAATCCAGATGGTCATTGTACGGTCATTCAGATGTCTTGCCGACTGTTACACCCGAAAGCGTTGCGAAAAAGCTTTTGTCCATTCAGTCTCACAAAGCTCCCGGTCCAAACGACCCCTACCTCAAGATAATCAAAATGTTTGCGCATTCTTTTGCCATCCCATTAGCAAACATTTTTAATGCATCATTTGGGCAGAAGGTGTTTCCAAAACTGTGGAAAAAGTTCCGCCTAGCACCTATACCAAAAGTGGAACCGTGCACGAATCTGGATGAAATAAGACCAATAGCTCTCACTAGCACAATTTCAAAAATACAGGAGTCTTACGTGGTTGATTGGATGTATGACGATATTGAGTCTAAAATTTGTAAGGAACAGTATGGTGGTGTCCCACGCTCGTCAGCAGTTCTTGCACTCGTTCACCTTCTACACAAATGGAATAAAGCGTTGGACTTATCACAACGAGTAATACGAATTGTGTTTTTGGACTTTCGCAAGTCATTTGATCTTATTGATCACAACCTGCTATTAGACAACTGTTGTAAAATTGGAGTCAGACCGGGGCTTATTGGCTGGTTGGGGTCATATCTGAGTAAGAGGATGCAAGTCACAAGATTTGGTAACGAACTTTCTACAAGATGCATGATTAATGGGGGAGTTCCCCAAGGTAGTCGTATTGGTCCAATCGCGTTCGTCGTTCACATTAACGGACTGAAGGCAGTAATAAAAGATACCGAGAGCAGTTTGACTAATTCAAGCAATGATGATAATGATGATGGTGATGATGACCTCACTCTTTTCATGGATGATACAACATTGTCAGAGGTTATTAACGTCCGTGATCATGTCTCGGGTACGCAAGTTGGGAATATGAACAATAATATTATGAAAGTTATGGATTTTGCCACGTCTCAAAAAATGGAGTTGAACCTGAAAAAATGTAAGGAAATGCAGTTAGACTTCCGTCAGAACAAAACAGTTATTCCACCACTAACATTCAATGATACAACGTTGGAAAGGGTTTCAACTTTCAAACTATTGGGCTTATGGATTGACGATAATTTAAAGTGGCAAACTAATACTGATTATATAATAGGGAAAGCAGTTAAGCGACTCTTTTTATTAAAAACTTTAAAGAAATACGGTGCTGACAAGATTGATATGAAACGGTTTTACATCTCTGCCATTAGGCCGACACTTGAATATGGAGCGCAAGTCTGGCATGGGGGCCTTACTAAAGCACAGAGCAGCAGTATTGAGAAAGTACAAAGAAGGGCTTTGAGAATAATTTATTCCGAAAAAGATTACGAAAAGTTATTGTTGAAAGCTGGAATGCATACGCTTGAACAACGTCGCAATACTATGTGCATTGATCTTATCAGTAAAATGTCTGACCCGCAGCACAAACTGCACCATCTTCTTCCTAATAAACTTTGCAAGGTACGGCAAAGGGTTACACGTCAGAATGGTCAATTGTTTTACAATTACCACTACAGAACAGAACGTTTTCGGAACAGTCCAATCGTTTCGTCAATTGAACTCTATAATAAGTCTATTTTATAATATAATACATAATATAACTTTATATATTTTTATCGAAACATTTTTAACACGTAGTGATAGTTTTTGCATCAGTCCATTTGTTTCGCCATTTGAACCTTTGTTAATAACTCTCTTTTTTTAATATAAATATTTCATTTGAAACTTTTATAATACCTAATGTAGATAGTTCAGTAATTAATGTATATTTTCTATATATATGTAATGCGCGTTCTAATTTAGTTACTTACTGTAGCTATTCAATGTGTAACCTTTCTATAATAATAATAATAATAATAATAATAAGAACTGAAGTGTTAATAAACATTGTATAAGGAGAGGGGGGATGGATTTTCTGAGGTATACTTAGGTATTGTTCCAGGAATGTTGTATTTATAATGTTTGTCCTAGTAAATTTGTCCCGGATTCTCTGAAAATTGGTGAAAATTATGTGCTGTTTAATAAACGAGCAGGAGTGTTTTATTAGGTTTAAAGCCACGAGCGCGCAGCGCGAGTGGCTTAATTTAGACCTAATAAAACACGACCTGTGAGTTTATTAATTAAACGGCTTCAAACACGACTACAAATTCAATAGATATACTGCCTTATTAGTATTCTTTATATAAAGAATACTAATGAGGACACGACAACAATAGATACTGCCTTATTAGTATTCTTTATATAAAGAATACTAATTAGGAGTGTTTTATCAGGTTTAAAAGCCACTGCACATGACATATTATGCATGGTTGACATGATTTGCCAATAATGTTATGAATTATTAGTGAGTGTTTGAATTCTGAATTATACCTTATCACGCGCTATAAAAGAGTGAGAAAAGACTTCATATGCTGTTTTCGTAGCTAAATTGAAAATTTTTACTAATGGTCAGAGATGACAATTGGGTCTACTTCTTCTTTGTACTCTACATAATTATATATGTCACAGATGTTTATTTTTAGTATCAGATTGGTATAATAAATACTGTGTGCTTAAATAATTTGTGTGCGTTGCTCTTTTTTATTCTTTCAGTTGTAACTAGAACTGTTTACCTCGTGACATACAGTCAGGCAAGTTTACAGAATTTCCCTCTTCGACATGATTTCGCAAAGGCGATCATTGATTCCTTCACTCAAGGATCTGCTGAAGTTCTCTACTGGTGTTGCAGTCTTGAAAACTATAGTGACGTTCATTATATTCCAATGTTCACCATAATTATTACAGTGCATGGCGCTATGTAACGAAAAATGACGAGGAATATCAGGAGATTTTGACCACCCTGATCTTAACCTGAAGTTCAGGCACAAGCGGCCCAATCTTTGAATGTCCTATACATTTTAAATATTTAACCGTTATAATATTTAATAACGAAATAATTCAAATAATATTAGCAGTATATGTAAAAAATATATCTAACTTGTTAATAGGATGCATTTATTGTGTTTCTGAGTTTAGTTGATACGATTGCTTTACGTTTTCGTCGTACTTGAACAGTTGAACGGTCGTCAGTATTGGCACAGAACGACATGGCCATAGGATATGAATAACTACAAGGCTAGTCACTTATCTGATATACTCTCCGACATCGAGTCCAATATTTCTCCTCAGAATCGTTGCAGAGCAATAAATTTCACATCGCCTAATAGTATGAACGTTCCTCTTTCGAAAGAACATGGTTTGTTCACCATTTGGGCAATTCTCGTGACACACGACGAACTTTGAATTCAGTGTTTGTCCAAATTTCAAAACTCAATTTTCGACAGAAGCGCTAACCCCATGATCGTTGCCACGAGAGCGGCTCAGCAACCTGGCCTCCTCGTTCGAAAACACTCCATCGGGGGGGGGGGGAGGAGCTGGACTGGAATAAGGGGCTTTCAAAGCAACACGATAAAACACACGGTATAAATAGAAATGATTACCTTATCATGCTGTATTCGACAAATTCAACATGGCAGATTTATAAGGGCATTTTTGTTTTCAGTTTGGACACCGGTCACGTGACCAAGCACGCATTCTAGGTCTAATATTTCTATGGTCTGTATACAAGATGCGAAGTGCATGTGTCTCAGTCCTCAACGATTTTCGTTGGAGCCCTCAACTCATAGCATGGCACGATTTGTTAAATTGATTGTTTACCTGTTTGATTGTTTACTTGATTGCTTACCTGATTGATTGTTTACTTGATTGTTTACCGGATTGGTAAACAAATGGTAAACAATTTGTGAACAAAGTCCCTGAAGTAAAAGAAGCCAATCAAATGCGTAGTTTACAAACTGGTTTGTGAATCTCATTATGAACTTTTGAACTTCGCAACGAACTTCGCAACGAAGTTCGGAACATTTGTGGTCAAAGTTATCTGAAATCGACTGTAATATAAGCGTTACCCTGCGGGCGGCCGGGGTCCTCGTATTTCTTTTCGGCACGGCACGGAGAAGCGACTCAAGCGAGAGAGATTCTGCAGAACTTGTGTATATTCTTTGTGGAGCCGTCAATCCAAAAACTTGGATAACTATGCGTAATTTCAGGTTTGATACTTGTTTTATAACCGGTTTTAACAACTGAACCGGAAACTACTTATTAAATTTTCTTCTGGGAAACAGGCAGTTGCTTAGCAACCTTCCGCCCGCATGCTCAAATCAATTTATACACAAGTTCTGCAGAGTCTCTCTCGCTTTTCCGTGCCGAGACGAAATACGAGAGGACTTTGCTCGCAGGGTATATAAGGTTAGCGCATCGTATTAACTCAAAAGGTTTCCAGATGGCATACACCATGTACGCAGTGCGTACCTATTTTTCAGGTTTTGCACGCAAATGCTCCTTTTTCGTGGTAAATAACCTAGATAGTCCAGAAAATCAAACGTTTGCGGACGTTTCTTTTCCAACCGTCTTTACGCGAATTTGTTTTTCACTCGTCAGATAACTCGCCGTAGTTTCTAGCTTAGGGATGTAATTAAAGCCCGGCTAAACAAACAGTAGACTTAAAAATATGAAACTTTTACATACAATGAAGCCGATTTTTTACCCTGAACTTTGTGAATTTCTGCGCCGGGGCATAGGGTGGTCGCCGCAATTCCCGGTCGCTAGCTGCAAGTAAAACACGAACTTTTCCACTTTATTGCGGTCTTTTTGGATCGAAATTTTTGGATTAAAATCAATGTTGAATATTCAAAGTTGTTGAAAGCAATTAAAGTTGTTGAAAAGGTGTTCGGAAAGGCATTTTGAAAGACGTATTACCGAATCATGAATTATCACGCGAGTGAGACTTGCTAGGAAGATGGCGACCGTGGGACAACCTTTTTTTTTACTGACTAGTTACACATCTGGGGCTGGTTGTGACGGTTTATCAAGCCCGTTTAGCTTAAACGGTGGTTAAGCTCAAAATAGAGAGCAAGTCTATAGATTCATTCAACAAGCAAACAAAAGTTTTGAACCTTATAAATAGAACGATATTGTTTACAACTTTACATATTCAGTGAAGAAGTTAACTGATCCACGAGAGATATAAAAGTGTTATTTAATTTTGACTTATCCACCGTTTAAGCTAAACGGGCTTGATACAACCGGCCCCTGGTCCATACTTGGTCTGTGTCTAAACATAGTTGATAAAAGGGGATGGTTAGGAAAGCCGGCAATCTTCAAAGGAATCGGTATTTCAGGTCATTGTTTCAATTTGGGTCAAGTCGCGTGGTATCAGTACCGTGCACATTTCACAAGCAAATATGGCTTCTGGTCGTGTTTCAAGTCAAATGAATTCGTGTTTTGAGAGAGAATAGAAACACATTAAGTTATGCCATGGGAGAATTGTTCTGTTTATGGCTGTCTATGACTCTATGGTCTAAATCGCAAATTTCCTATTTTTAAAAAACTTTATCGAGCCACCTTAACATGCATACATTATTATATTTTAGAGATATACTAACCAATTCGGCACTAAATCTAATCTACTTTGAATTGTTGAATTTCAGCATGATCGTGAAATTCATCTACGCACCGCAGCCTAGACCTAGGCCTTCTATTTTTATTGATATTTTTTTAATATTCAGCGCTTTTTCACATGAAAAGACTGGGACTAGGTGATTTGGGGGCGGGGCGGAGGAAGGATACAAGCCTGACGCGAGCGAAAAAATAGAAGGCCTAGTGGATTTCCCAACAACAAGGCCAAAACTGCCCTGAAACTGCCCTGATTGCGAAATGCCCAATTGTTGCGTTCTCAAACAGAATTATTTGCGACTTAACAGCGAATTTAAACCGATACAGGTAAAATAAACTCATTTATAGTATAACTTACTATTTTTATTTGTATACACGTCTAGAAAATCGGGGTTTTTATCATAAAGTTTGAAGCAACACTATTATTATGTTGACAAGGTGAAGCGAAAGCACAAAATAATAATTCTTTTATTCGCAAGACAATCTACTGTTTTGCTTTGAATAACTATATTTGGGAATGAGGAATTTGAAATTATTGTTCAAATATTACGGATATACCATTTGGAAACAATGTACGTTTTTATATACAGTACTGTACGGGCTAATAATATATGTATCCGTTTTATTTAATAAATTATAATTGTATATGTGTTTGTATATTTTACAAACACAAGACTGCTTCTTGCCAAAATTGAGAAAATACTATTAATGTAGTTGTGTATAAGACAAAATTTCATGAAAGATTCTACTTTTGGTATATATTTTGACTCATTTTGTGCTTTCGCTACACCTTGTCAACTGTCAAGTAAATGTCAACATATTAAATAATAGTGTTGCTTCGAACTTTATGATAAAAACCCCGATTTTCTAGACGTGTATACAAATAAAAATAGTAAGTTTATACTATAAATGAGTTTATTTTACCTGTATCGGTTTAAATTCGCCGTTAAGTTGCAAGTAATTCTGTTTGAGAACGCAATAATTGGGCATTTCGCAACCAGGGCAGTTTCAGGGCAGTTTGGCCATGTTGTTGGGAAATCAACTAGGCCTTCTAGGCTTGGTTCCTCCGCCCCGCCCCCAAATCACCTAGTCCCAGTCTTTTCATGTGAAAAAGCGCTGAATATGAAAAAATATAAATAAGACTAGAAGGCCTAGGTCTAGGCTGTACGCACCGTATTCTAAGAAATGATTTCCTCTGAAATGATTTCAACCGGCTAGACATGCGCAGAGTGCGCTAGTCTTATTTCGGTGTCCCACAAGCGCGGTGTTGACAAAGTGCTATTTATATAAATACGAGATGAAATCATAATATTTCGAGGTCCGGATTGAGGAGGGTTATCCAAATATTGAATTCTTAACCCCTCTTCTGTTCCCTAGACCTCTTTCTTCTTCCCCGAAAGTACTTTTACGAAGAACGAAGAAGTTTATATACGATGGCTTCCAGCGAGGGCAAGCCTCGTCAGGGGCTGTAGTTCCATCAACATATACCGCTGCAGAATGTTCAGGATGTTGTACTAGATGTTGTAACAGGATTTTATACAGGAACAATAATGTTCAGAATATTGCACTCTATTTATACTAAATACTGAGCAGCTGACAAGGTTCAATACTTCGATTCCCAGGTTCTGTGTGTTCTGGGCAGATTTAAAGTTTTTTGTTGAAGCCGCCTTCTGAAGCGATGGAATATATTCACAGCCAGTTCGCAGTCGAGTTGCAGCTTTGAGAACAGAATTCTATCACATACACGAGAGATATGCCATACTCATTTTACACGGCGCGAGGCAGTTTAATACCAACTTCTTGGACTATTATAAATATAATAACAAAGAAAACGTACAATACGAACGTGTTTGGTAACTCTGACAAGTGACAACAAAAATTACTGCTCCAACACAGCGACTTTACACTCAATTACTCATATTAACCAGGGCGCTATAAAGCTTCGACGTGCTCAGTAAACATATAAAATTATATGGCTCCTAATTTGAATAATAACATGAAAATCATCTCTGTATGTTTATAGGTTACTTTATAATAGGTATGTATACCTTTATTTATATATGTAGGGCATTTTGTAGATGGAAGTTTCGAGTGGAATTTTTATACATTTATAACAGACCTACGGCTACGAAAAATGTAACTATCATCCCACATTCCCACTGCCGTTCTGGCTACAGCGTTGTATGACTTATGACTGAAATTTAATGAAATACTCCTAAAACAGTATTAATTATACTACTCTAGGAGGAGTTATACTTATATACTGAAAAACTAGATAATATTTATAGTTATTTACAAGAAAGACTTCATAATCACTGTATGACACATATATTTAGGCGGTAATTAGAATGATGTTGTTTATATATGCTATTATTAACAACGGCAAAACGACAATAACAACAACAACACTAAGACTACAAAACGAACATACAGCTATATGTAAGAGTTATAAACCGAGTAGGAGGTTTATAACTGATATATTGACCCGAGGACGCGTAGCGTCCGAGGGGCAATATATCAGTTATAAACCGACTTACTCGGTTTATAACTAACTTATATCACACTTGCGGAGGTTTTCCAACATATTTTGTCATTTTCAAAAATTTTTGATGAAAAATTCTCGCGTTTTGTCTACAAGTTTAATCCAATCATTTATTCAAGGTCTATAAGCTAGTTATAAACCTCGGACGAACAAAGAAAACCGACGCAAGTGTGATATATTAAAGTACAATACAAACGATTCAAAACGATAGACTAATTAGCTACATTAAGTGACTTAATAATTGAAGGCATGGCAAGTGTTTTGAAACTTGGGTCGTGATTGGCAAAGATTGTTAAATGGGATGTGATTCCAGACATTTGACCATATCTATGTTTCAAATACAGAGAGACAGTTGTCGGGCTCTATTAACCACAAGTGATCCTGTATAAATACTATTATTTTGTAATTTTTGATGCCAGTGTACTGTGTATGGGTAAATATCAGAATTTGGGGCATCGCACTCGATACCACAGGCATACCGCAGGCATATGTGAACCAGGCTTTATTATATAACCATTTCTTTAAAAATATTTCAAGGAAGAAGAAAGAGGTCTAGTGGGCAGAAGAGGGGTTAAGAGTTGTAAATCATTGTGTGATTAAATTTGTGGATAACCCTCCCCAATCCGGACCTCGATAACAATCAGTCCCACCTCGTATTTATATAAATTATAGTTTGTCAACGCCACGCTTGTGGGACACACAGATAACACTAGCGCATCTGCGCATGTCTAGCCAGTTCAATTCATGCCTTAGAATACGGAAACCGCGGAAAAAACGTCTGCGCATGCGTCACCATTACTGAATTTGCCTTGCGAACAATACCGCGGAAGAACGTCTGCGCATGCGTCAACCTTACTGAAATTTGCCTTGCGAACCCACGTGGTGTCAAGTATTCTGAAGTTGTCAAAAACTCAAAATGGAAGCTAGCCCGCGTGCAGGCCCACAGAGGGAAGAATAGTGGGCCTGCAAGGAAGACCGGGTATCTTGTACCTCAGTGTCGCGTTCGCACACGAACGCAGCATTCTGATTGGCTGTTTGCTGTTGGATTCTATAACTAGGGAGATGCTAAGCATCATGGGGCGAGCCTGAGCAAGAGCCGTGATAGCCAGCAACTCAACCTCGTTCCCAGGGCTTTCTTATGAGGACGAGGGAGAGACGAGAAAGCCCTGATCTGGGCCGGTTACGTGACTACCCAAAAAATGGATATATTTGACAGCTACTCGTCAAGGAGTGTCGTAATATTCTAGATCTTAACTGAAAATTATATATGTATATATATATATACAAGTCTTCGAAACAAATAAACGGCCAAAACACTTCTCAATCGATTATTTATGTGTAGCGAAGTTTGGCACGAATCAGCTGAAATCGCTGAAGACAAGCGTCGATATTTTCTAAGAAATACCGATATTTTTAGAGATTTTCAACCACAGTGACAGGCAAAGCCAAAGGCACAACTGTACGCCTCCAAGTGGTGATTCACACAAAATTTGCTTTCTCTCGTCTTGAACAATATGGCTGCCTATTGCCTTTAATATTTAGTTTAAATATGCTCTTAGATCTGACTTAGTTCGATATGAATAAACACAAATATAAAACCTCACGTACCCTAATTTACGCTGTACAGCCTGCAGGAATATACGGATTCACTTGCCGTTCAGGAGCAATGCTTGCCTTCAAATTTTATCCCCTTCACAATCTTTGTTTTATTTTATCGTATAGTCGCAACTTTCAAGTATTCGGGGTATTCTGAAGTGAAACTGTAAAACTCGGTGTCGAGACAAGCAAATCTTGTACAGACTACATCGGCCTACGCGTAGGCCGTAGAGCTATTAAGTAAGCAGGGCCTAAATTAGTAGTTTCATTTAATTGTTTGTCTTGCTTTTATTTGTCAGAAAATATAGAATATTGTAAATTAAAATATTACTACAATGCAATACGCGTAGTATATTTCATCAGACATCTGCACTAAATTATAAATACTGTATAAGGAAAACTACAGCTTAATTTCTTGTTTTGTCAGAAAACATCCCAGCTCACGTCGACACGGCTTTTGAGTTTTGTAACCGGCCGAGGCGAGAGTAAATCATACAGTCGGGAAAACTGAAAAACTTCTTACTTTGAAAATTATCTTGCAAAATATACTCGTACACACAAGAATCATAAAAATACATATGTTGAATTGTTATTGTCAAGGTTGTAACCAGCAGTGCTCTCACAATCAAATTTTCGAATTCCTTAAAAAAAGCTCGAAAATTCCTCAGATTTCCTTAAAATTCCTTAAATTGGTAGTACTACAAGGCCTGATCACACAGTTGCAAAAAGTGTTTTTTTTTCACCTGATTTACCTGAATTTTTCGAACTGAACGTTCTTTAAAACCGTATTTTTTGAATATTTGAAGTTTCTAGACCGTCGGAAATGGCATTTTTAGAGTCTTTCCTACCCAATATTTTAGTATTGCCTAACAATGAAGATAAGTATTGCTACTTTCAGTTTAATGGGAAATTGAGAGAATTTTGGAAATTTGGAGTCTCCAGATCGTCAGAAAGGGTATTTTGCAATTGTCCCCCTGCCACAACACATCTCAACGTCTGTAGTTTGTTTGATTGTTAATTCAGATTATAGAGTTCACTTTTTTATGCCCTACGAATTACCTGAATTTAACTGAAAATCTACAGGAAATCTACCTGAAATTGTTCATGATCAATATTAGAGGTGTTGCACCCTCCCTCCCTCCCCCGGTTGCTACGGCCCTGAGAACTTAGAAATTAAATCTGTAGATTTCAGAAGAAACAGCATATACTGACATTTAACTTTTGAGAATTTTGATGGAAAGACAGCCATATGTACATTTACGACATAGATAACATACGAATATATGTAATTATGAGCGTATATATGCAAGTTTAAATCTCATTTGCGTGGCGTGGTTATCCTCCGTCCAACGTTTTTAGTACAGGATTAAATGTTTCGGAGATTCCTTAAAAAAATCTTCAAAAACCTAAATTCCTTAAAAAAATCCTTAAAACTCTTCATAATTCCTACCCTTAAGGATAATTCCTTAAAAGTGAGAGCACTGTCCCTAACCTTCCACTCTATCCTCCAAGCTAAGCCAATTACATTTATAACTAAAACTTTTGTCTAATGTTTGTGGTTTTGCCATCTGTTACAACGCAATACTTTATTACATACAGTGGCATTACAACGCCAATAGATTATTGGTTACAACGTGCGGAACGGGTGACAATTTAGACTAATTTCCTCTATTCCAATATTTGCCGCGGCCATAGTTTGGTGCAGTTTATCAGTCTCTTTTGGGGTCCATATGGGGGTCCATAAGGGGGTCCATAAGGGGGTCCAAAAGTGGGGGTCCAGGTTTTGTACCGACCCGCCGCCGTGCCAATTATGACGTCAAGTGCAAACCAAGAATTGACGGCATGATTGCTATTTTACTGGTTTTAAATATTTGCCATCCAAAACAGTGGACGCCAAACACACGCAACACACACACACACACACACACGTATATATAAAACTTGTACCAATGCTGTTGTGATATTGACATTTATTAGTTACATTGAAACGATACTCGTAAATAGCAAGCCTGTTTGCAGGCTATTAGGCATGGACCTTCGGGGGTAATAATTAACTGAAAGACTAAGACTATTGTTATTGTACATGTGTTCGGGGAAGACAATATATAAATTTACACTGTTTCAACAATTGCATGTCATATCAGTATCAATGTTCGACTGCTTGCTCCCATCTTGTTGACAAGTTGTCAACGGGTTGTTGACAACTTGTCACAAGGTTGTTGAACTCAACAGACTGGTTATAACGTTGTTCCAACAACCTGTTACATCGTCCTGCAATTCAACAACTTGTTAACAACAAGAACAACAACAACAGAACAGATTGTGAGTGGTAATCTTGTAGCAAACAAACTAACAACATTGCTATACAAATTGTTGACAAGATGCGAGATTTTTGCGTGTGTATTTCGCATTGCATATGTTGTAACATCAAGTTGACCATGTCCATGTGCTAGCTGCTGCAAATAAATGTAATGTTCTCAGAATCCAAACGGCTATAATTCGAACGTTGTTCAATTAGTGTACTATAATATATATACAAGTATTATATATTTACACAATTGGAGCTACCTCATGTCACCGTCTAAATGTTAAACTACGTGCATGCCTATGTTATTATAAACAGAACGATGTTATGCACGAACCCAGAAAATAAATAATAAAAACCCGTTCCCTTTTTTCGCTTAAGACATTTATATTCAATATAACTTTTTGAGCGTCCGGTAAAACAGTGACTGGCTACAATTTCTCGGTTCATCGTTTTTGAATCCGTGTCGTCGTGTCCAGCGTTCGACCTGCCGCTGACGGTACGATTTCTGGCGGACTGCCCGGGACAGTGACAAGGAATTACATAACAACAGGAATAAAAGCACCCCCCCACAAACACCAACGTAACCAATACAACAGTCGCATAAACCAACGGTTCCCAGAACGGATCGTCATTTCCATGGCAAGCTTTTTTGGAGCAATAATTCTTCCCGACATGCATTACAACACGTTGATTGAACACAGTCGCCATCCGAATGGCAAAATATTTCAGAACAATTTTGCCGGCAAACCATTATCTTGAAACAGCAGTATGTTCCATCCTCGCAACCAGAAGAAGAACTGCAGCGTTTCTCGGCCAATACAGATAACATTTCAGCAAGAAACAGCACAGAAAAAAACAAAAATACTTCGCCTACACGTCGTTTACCCATTTCGTGACTACACTGTCATTAATGTGTAAAACCACTTCATGCTCGTGTGCTTAAATTGAAACCACTTGGGCTAATGGTCGTTTGTAAGAAATTCCTGAATGTTAAATCAAGCTTAAACATGCGGTTTTCATCCATTCACTGCAGAGTATATATATAGTAAAGTACTACGCAACGTCGACTCTCGATTTTTATTATTTCACAATATTCCACTCCGAATGGACGACTTACGTGTTACGTTGATTTGACTAAAATAACATGACGTACGTAGAATAATTATTGTCGCCCGCGATGAACTGAGAAAAGCGCGCGAAAAGGAAGCCATGTTGAACGTTAAAAGTACGTATAAAAGTAGTCTAAAGAAACGCTAAAAATTAATGTTTGAACCGGGAAAAGTCAAGTTAGGATTTATGGTTTTAAAGTTTATCACTGGTTTGGACAAATGTAAGTTAAAAACAGTGTAATTGTAACGTAATGTATTGTATTTATATTTGTAAACATAGTCGTAATTTTCTTTCTATTCTTTATCTTATAGCTTCAGATTATATATACATATTTTATGCAAATTTCGTGTTTGTATAATTTAATAATAAGAAAACCAAACCATTGTTGTTGTTTGTCTACTGTCGCCTGCGCCATC